GTTGAATATAATATCAGACTTAACTGATTTTGGGTCAAACCACTTTATGCAGTGTCTGTCCCATACCCCTTATTGGTGTAAGTCAAATCAGAGTCCCCCAGCACCCTGGAATACTCTCTGGGCTGGGTAGAACTCTCTGTTCCACAGCAGGGCTGGCCCCTCCCCTCTGCTCCCGGGCCAGAGCTCTGGCAGAGACTTGCAGGCACAGCAAGGTCTTCTGGCTTCCCTGTGCCCCACTCCCCCCATCCCCTCACCACGTGCTACTTAAGCAGGGATCCCTTCTTCCTCTCTGTCACAGCATGGACCATAGCCAGCATGTGGTATGCTAGCTAATGCTTTATAAGGCTCCAGCAGAGACTGCCTGGCTTCCCCCTCCCCTACCCCCCTCGCTGCTAAATCAGGAACCCCCCCCCCTCCTTCTCTCCCTCCAGTCTCCCACAGCACAGACCCCAGCCCCATGGACCTATGCATGCTGGCTAATACCGAGAGGTGTCTCTCTAATTTTACTGGGCCAGGCAGACAGAACAGTGACTGCTTAGGGAAGTTTGGAACTAATCAAAAGATCAGCTGGTAAGGTGTTTAAGAAGTTTAAAGTAATAGAGGCCATTGTTTTGCTGATTGGGTGATACAGACTGTTATCACTATCAGCCCCCAGGTGGCTTTCTTGCCTGTCAGTTTGCTCCAGACAGTATGATGAAGCAGGGAGGGAGATTGAAAACTCTGTATCATCAACAGATGCATGCACTGCACCCCCACCCCCCTTGCCTGAGAGTGCTAGCCGGGGGCTGGAGCTGGCAACACTCCCACCCCTTGAGCAGCCAGTGGGGAAAAGCCTAGGACCAGGCAGGCAGACCTCCCTAATGAGAGAGTTCTGCTGGGGCCTGGCCATGACCACCTCAGCTCAGCTCAGCTCAGCTCCCTGCAGAAGGGAAGGGAGGGCTGCTCTAGCACCCCTCAGCTTCTAGCCTGAGCCACTGCGGGCATGTGCCTGAATTTCCTCAGTCCAGAGAGAATTTCTGTCTGGTTTCAAACCAGTTCAGCTTAGCCAGGTTAGACTAACCTGCAAATATTGAATCAATTCAAGCTCAGGTTTTTTGAATGTCTGTCCCTAGCCTTAGAGACTAACTGGAGGCTTAAACTTTCATAGGCAGCAGCCTCTCTGTTCCATGCTCCCTGCCTTCTACACCTTTCTCTGTGATGTTCCAGAACTATGAGGAAGAAATTTGCTGTACTAATATCAACAAGAATAGTCACTCAGCAGCCCTCTCAAGTAGTGCATTTTTATTTTGTGTTAAAAACACCAGGTTAAAATTTGGATGTCTGAATAAATCAATTTTCTTAAACCAGTAGGGTGAGGTGACTTGTGCACTTGCAGTAAACTTGGGCTTTGAAGGAGATGTATGTATTTGAAATGTGATCAGTTTTTTAAAAAATGATTAAAAGTTATTATGCTCATGTTTGAGGCCTTCTGACAGCTTGTGGGGTTTTACACTTGTTAGATATGTTTAAAAAAACAGTCTTTTGCCTGGACTTTGTGCAAAAGACCCACACAAACAGGAGCTGCTGAGGGAGGAGGGTCCAAGGCCTCACAGAGATCCACACAGATGGACTCTTGTGCCCCTGCAGACATCCACTGAGGTTTAGAGGGCTCTGTCTGGGCACAAGAATCTGTCCGTGCAATTCAAGACATAACCGTGTAACCAGAAATAGTGAAAGAGACTACAGACAAAGCAATCTGAAAGAAGACTTTTTTCTCAAAACTCTTTGTTACCATAATCTTAGGTGCTATTTCTCATAATGGGAAGTTAACAGACTGGGTTTTTTAAGTTTACTGACTTTGGCAGTTGTTGTTGCCCCTGAGCCTGTTGGTCACTGTGTATGCAGGCCATTTACTTTGAAGGGGCTCCCTGTGGACATCTGGGGCCTCTTTCATTCAGCATTTTGCAAGATTAAGGCTTTTTTCTTCAATCAGCCTAAGAACAGAGATGTGTACATCCACTAACAGTGAGAATAACTGATATACATTTTCTGATTTTTCTTATTTTTCTGATTTATACAAATCTTGTACCATGTTAACAGCATTGCAACAGTTAGAATTTGCCTTAAAGCATGCTCCAGTATTTGTGATCTAACAGTTGCTTCATGGATTCTGCAGGCTGCCTAGTCTTTACATGCTCTCATTTGTGAAGAGGGCTGCTTGATACAAATTCCTATTTTTAACAAGTTCTGTGGATGTGTAGAAATGGATGAGTCTTTATCACAAGCTGAAGCATTCCTTGCCACTTTACTGAAGGCTTTCTAAAGTTGTTAAAAACCTTGCAACATTTTTACCATAAACAAGAGAATGGCTTCTGAATGTTATAATTTTATAACAGGCAGCTGAAACTATTTAAATACATGCTTTAAATAGCGTTGTAGAGGGTAAATTTGAACTCCTATTTCCTACGAAACTTACTTATACCTTCTGATGTACTTTGTGTTGGTAAGAAGCAAAATATTATACTAGATTGACTGTTGGCTGTATACTAGTACAGATTGTTCTTTCCTACAAAATAGTTTGGAAACTGCAATTTCGGCTCCTTACCTGGGGAAAACCATTTCTTGTATTTCTTAACAAATATTAGATAAAATTTGATGTAGTTTAAATAGAAGTTTTCTCAGTTTTGAAGAATAGAAGATAGCACTTCAAGGTGCTGTATTTGGGTTAGACTTTGTCTCTTAACGTGTTAACTACTGATGAACTAGTACTCTCAGCTGATTGCCAACTCTTAATTTTAAATATTAGAGGTCTTCCTTTGCAGCTACAAAGCAAGTTGTGAAATGTAAAGTTATTTTTGTCATGCCACATTATGAGAACTGTCTGAAGCATTGAAGCTAAAATCTAATGCTTTTTGGATTTCTACTGTAATGGTACATGCTTAACTGTCATGTCAGATGTATTATTGCAAACAAGAAAATCATGTGCTTGTAGATTATGATATATTTGGGATAAGGTTGTACACAAAAAGAAAGAAAACATATTACTGAGACAAATCTTTCTCTTTCTTGCATTATGGTACAGCAACACCTCTAGCAGATTACAATAACAGAAAAAAATGTTCATCTTATGTGTGTGTTAAGATCATTTCTTTGAAAAAAAAATAGCCTTTTGTTTTTAATGTGTTCGAAGCAACAGGAGTTTACTGGAACTTGGAAGACTGTGCTGAGCTTTTTTTAGTAATACCTTTCTGTCTTCTGCCTGCATCCGCTTGGCCACCCTGGCTAAGGACAGACATTACAGATAAATGGGTTTAAGGGGTCAGAAACTGGTTTAAACCTGTAACAGAACAGATGTTCAGTGCACATAAACCGGTTTGAAAATAGCTAAAATCGATTTGAGATAAACCTGGTTGAATATGGTATCTGACTTAACTGGTCTGGATCAAACCAGTTTATGCAATGTCTGTCCCAGACCCCTTGCTGGTTTAAGATAAACCAGACTCCCCCAGCATCCCGGCATGGTCTCTGGACTGGGCTGGGTGGGGCTGTCTGCTCCACAGCAGAGCTGGGCCCTCCGCTCTACTCCATGGCTGCAGCTCTGGCAGATCTTGAAGGCATCTGTGTGCCTTCTCCTCCACTCCTCCAAGCAGGAATTCTGCTGTCCCCTCTGCCTTACACAAACACACAGCATTAGCTAGCAGACCACATGCTGGCTATAGTCTGTGCTGTACCAGACAGGACAAAGGCAGAATCAACAGGTAGCTGATAATGTCCCACTGTTGTTTTCTTAATGGGGTGATAAACAATGAGTTAGGGGTGATAAACACTGTGTTATCAGTTTCCTGCTGGGCTGGTCAGTAATGGGGCTGGGAACCCCTCCCTAATCAGAGCATCCTGCGGTGGGCTGGCCGTGCCCCTATCAGCTCAGCACTCTGGAAGGGAGGAGGGCTGCTCTAGTGCCCCCTGGCTTCTAGCCTGAGCCACTGCAGGCATGTGTCTGCATTTCTTTCAGTCCAGAGGGGATGCCTTAATGGTTACAAACTGGTTTAGCCTAGCAGGTTAGACTAACCTGCAAAGATTGAATCAATTCAGGCTCAGGCTTTCTGAATGTCTGTCCCTAGCCTGACACTCTCTGAATTTCTCAACACTCCCTCTCTCAGCCTTTTTCAATCCTCCCCAGGGTGTCTTTCATACCTAACAGAATTGTGGGAGAGCCTTCTTCCCTCCCTGCTGCTTCACACGTTTCTGAGATTCATGTTGCCTGCGTTTCCTCTAAGAGACTCTAGCATACTCCCCCTTGCTTTGCTCTGTGCCATTCTGAAATCTCCTTTCTCTCTGGTGTCCAGCTGTTATTCAGGGTTAGTTATCTATATCTAATTCTTGTTATTTGTGGTGGTACTTAACATCTACTAACTTTTTAAATAAAAAAATGTTAGGGCCTTAATGAGCGGTGATACAGTATCTAATCTTTGTAGAGATGCACAGAATAGAACCACTGGCTTCTCAAGATCAGGAAGGGGCTAAAAATGCAAAGAATCATTGAACATGTAGGCTGCATTTCAATGATTGCTCAAAGCCAATTAATTTCCTGTACTGTATTTTAAGTATAGCCATAGGAGCTAGCTAGTATGGTTAGCTTGCTGAAGGTTTGAGCAGCAGAAGTAGAGCTTTCTTTGTTCATCTGCACTGTGTACTTTCTAGTAATGCTATTATACCCTGTCACAGATGTGACAAGAGATCCACATTGTTTCCCGCTAAGGTTTCTTTGTTGCCCTTGTTGTTCCCAGTAGGAAATCTAATGTACTGGATAAATCCCTCATATGAGTGCATTTCTGTCACTGTGAGCAGGATTTAATAAAATGGTTCTGACATCTTGTACACCTTGGGCACTTTTTAAAGTTTCTTTTTAAGGAAGATTTAGGAAAATTGTTTGGGAGAGGAAATGATCAAGTTGTGCAAAAATGTTAGTCAGTTGTTTAAATCATTATAAACCTAGAATTATATTTAAATGTAATGCTATTGCATTTTGTCAAAGTAGTTTATATTGATTTATTCGCGGAAAATATAACATGAAGGCTTTATCCTACCATGTTAAACATCTATTTTGATCTTGATTGTTTTCAGAAGTTGCAAAACAACGTTGGCCTGGAGATGAATTGAAGGTGATGTAGTTTGCTTTTTATTAGGCATGAGATCTAAAAAGCTTCTTGTGCATGAATATATAGTGAGGACGTGATTCTTGAAAATTAGTAACCTTGTATTTAATACAGCCTTTAAGTCAGGCTGTCCACCTGCATGACTGTGCATTTGTGTGTATAGACCGATCCACAAGTCCACTACTTTCATTATGTTTCCCAAGTTTGCCTTAGAGTTTTGCCTGTACTCAGAGTACAGCATGTGTACTGTTTGCCAAAATAAACATTTCTATAACCATATAAAAGTGTTTGGCTCTACTTAGACAGCTGTTGAGCCAAGGGCTAGAAAAGTGATGCTACTTGCATTTGAGGTCAGTGCCTTTAGACTAGGTAAACCAGACTGGCTCCTTATTTCACCTACAGATGTTTTAATATGCTTAACATTATCCAATACCCGCAACTGGGGTAGTCTAAATACCACAGCAGGGACTGATTAGCTTTTTCAGATCACTGCTTTTATTTGGTGTTTGCAAAGAAGCTTAATCCAGTGCTGGAGATCAGGCTTCCTGCTGTGCTCTTGGGTAGCTTTTTCTCATTCTTTGTGTTCATAGTGGCAGAAATTAGTGAGAAGACTCCTCCAGCTTCTGAATTAAAAACTTCAAAATAGTAATGATAGTAGCTATTTTAGTGGTTGTATGATAGATTGCATACAGGCATTGTATTTTGGTTTATTATTATTATTAGCTTTAGATCTCTAAATCTGAGCATCCAGTAAATATGTTAGTCTTGTATTACAGTGGCACATGGATTCATTTATTATTCTGACACATTTAAAATTCCAGATAAAAGTAAAAAATTATTACAGTTAATGAGCTCTAACAATGCAGAGATTTGCATTCTCTGATGTTTTTAAATCACAGTAGATGTTCCCCAGTAGATTTCCTCTGAAAGAATAAGCAAACAGCTACCAATTCGCAATCTTCAATATGCCTATTGAATGCATCTGAAAGTCAGTTAATATTCAGTCCGAATGAAAATTGGTAAAATGCAGAGTTCTAGAAAATGATGTACTCAATCTTAACTGAACAAAAACAAAGCTAAAAAAAAAAGTCCAAAATGTATATGTCCAGATTTTTCTGTTTCTTACATAACCTCAAAACTAAGCAGTCATGTTGCCAAACCTGATATATTTATTAAGAATTACGTTTGGGACATTTTTCTTTAATTTCAAAATAGTTTACCTCCACAAGAAGGAAGATTTTTTAAATGAGCTCAGGTAGTGACTTAACTTCCAAAATATTTGTTTAGCTATTTCTTCATCTGTATACACTGCCAGGAACTAGAAAGTCCTTTTTTTGGCTTCAGGATTTAATCTGTTGATTAAGAGGTTTTCCTCTTATGGGCAAATAGAGATGAGTCACTATTATAGTGGTGCTAGAATAATTTGTTGTTTCTTTGTGTCAGCTTTTTAATATTTTAATGCCATTAGTTAGCAAAATCCAATATTCAACCATTGAAATTAATATTTTTAGTTTTAAAATGTATCTATTCTGTTTTTATATTGGGACTGAAATAGTTACACTAAGTATTATGTTCAGTTGTGAGTAAATGCTAGTTCATTAGGTTTACTGGCACATAAAAGTAAAGTTTCAGGAAATTCAAAAAATGCTTTTGGATGTATTTCAGGGTATAATGTTAGCTCCTTTCCTATTTCATGATTTGTTTTATTAATGGGAAAAGGTACATAACTACTAATGTGATATTTCCATTTCTGTATTTTTATTTCTTCTACTATACCCTAAAGGTTCTTTGTAGCAGACAAGGCTATATGCTTTAGAATTTTTATTTAATAGAAACTAACAACTTTTACTACTTAAAAATAATTCTTTTCTTTGTTTCATGAATTAGAAGCAAGGAGCAAAAGCTGAAGTCTGCTCAAGCCAGGTGTTTCTTGTTGGCAGCCTGCTCCCTAATGACTCTGGCTCTCATACAGCAGCTGCCTGCTAGTCTCCTTTGTATGGCCTATTGTTGCTGCACACCCCTCGTTAATACACATGCTGCCCAGGGCAGACCCTGAGAATGACATCAACTTGCTTATCTTAGAAACCTACAAACCTGACGCAGGGTATGGAGGTTGCCTTGCATCTGCCTGGCCAACTAATTGTGAGCTTTCTGGCCTCTGATTGGCTGTTATTCCACTCAGTAATAGGTTAAGCAAAGACATTGCCATTCCATCTGTTCAACCATTCATTGTTCTGCTTGCTTCCCTGAAGTCTGCAGCTGAAATCGTGTTAAGGAGTTGCTTCTGGAACTGCAACAAGAAACCAATGTCTGTGTGTTTTCCAGTTAATGTAAGTATATGCACTCTCTTTGCAGGATTGAGCAATTTCACTGTTCTGACATTTCAGTGTGTTGGTTTCAGTTTTGAGCAACGTAAACAGCATGCACACCCGTTGGAATTTCCAAACTTTGGAATCTCTTTTTAAAATTCCATTTGAAGAATAAGTTATGAAAGGCTGATCATTAATTTGATATGGTCAAGTAAGGAACTTCTAAGAGCACCAATAGTGCTGGATTTTGGGAGGGTGAAAATGAGAGGTGGAACACTTCAACAGGGCTAAATTTTTCTGTACATTTTTGGTGACTCCAGCTTTAAGTTCAAAGTTTTAGCCCTTCTTGCAAATATACAGTGCTTGATTTACTTTTCCTTTGGGTGAAAATATAGATTTTATGCATGTTTGCCCAGTTTATGAAATTTCACCAAAATGTAGTAAGTTTCCTAAAATTAGGTAGAACATCACTGTGGTACAGTGGCTGTGTTTGGGATGGATTTAGAGTATGATGTAACATCAGTTCATTTGAGCTACTCTCACAAACTTGTATGTTGTGGTCAAAGACTTTGTGCTTTGAGTGATGTTCTTACGCTTGCAGAATTAACCAGCATATTCTGATGAAATTTTAAATCTATTCTGTTTTATGCTTTGGGTTCAGATATTAGGCTAAATAACAAACAGTGTATGTTCCGTGAGGCAGTGTTCCAAGGATCCTCTAAAGAAAAAAAAACAAAGACCTTCATATATCAGTTGGGAGGGAAGGAGAGCACATAAAAGGGTTAAAAAGAGGTTTGCATTTCTACCACATGCCCTATTGTGTGAACATATGCATAAGTCTATTGAAAGTTTTCAGAAGATGGGCAGGCCACCAGTTGCTGGTCTCCTGCAGTTCCAGTAGACATCTGTTGCCCCAGAGCATTAACCAATCTGTTCAATGGGACATCCTTCCTTTGTTAGATAGAGCGATGCAGACAACAGCGCTCGCTAAAATACAATGGTAATTAAATATACAGAAACTACAGCAGTAGGTATTTATTACATATTCATTATTTTATTTGCATTGTTGCAATATCTTTGCCATTTGAGAACAAGTACACTGGCTTCTGTCTTAATAGCCTATACAGTTTTCAGGACAAATGGTTGCGGTGTTTTAATAATTTGAGGTACAAATAGTTGCTGTTTGCTGTTTTAAAAAACTAAGAATATTTTTTGCATGAAAACAAAATGAATTAGTTATCTGTTGTAAGATTTACCTTTTCAAAACATTGAGGTTCTTTTAAGGACAAATGTAGTTGCTTTTACAAACATTTTGCCACAAAATACACTATTTCCCCACTTAATTTCTTTGTGTTTTTTCTTTTTTATTCCATGTACTAAGTCTGCAGTAAACTACAAATAAAAATTTCAGTTGTAAGTGGAACATTGTCATTATATGTACTAAAAGACTGGATGATCTAATTGTTTCTGTCCCGTTTGAGAAATAGAAGGGTTTTATGCAAAAGAGTCAGTGAGGTGGTTCTTGTTGGTGTTTAATGGAAAGTAGGTCTGTTACTGAAGTTGAAGAACTGTAAATGGAAAAAGAATGCAATTCTATAACGTAGTAGCATTTTGTTCCTCCACAGTGCTAAGTATAAATCCTTGACTGAACAAGTATGTGTCTTTGTTATTTGATTTACATAATATTTAAACTCTCTATAAAAAAGGGAGCTAATGTAAAATATTAGGCCACATTTTATTTTATAGGTTTCTTTTTTGCATTTTTAATATAATTTAATCTAAGTCCTTAAAAGTTTTGATGTGGTGATTTATAACTATGTGCACATTCAAATAAGATCCCATCTTATTGCAGTGATCGTCATTCATCTCTCTAGGTTAACCTGGGTGACTTCTATATTATATTTACATTTTTATACCTACCAAAGCTATTACTTAACTGCACTGCAAGTATAACCAACAAGTATAGTAATCTTATTCTTAACAGGCTTATTTCTGCTACTCATTGTTCATGCAGTTATTATACATACATTGGCAGTCAAAGTTCACAAGGGAGATTTTCATCTAGGTAACAAGTCTAGGAAAATATTTCAAAGCAGTTGCTTGTTTTGTTGTAAATAATGTGTGGCTCTTTTCATGTTCAGTGTTTCTGCTGTTTCAGGTTTATTTTCCTGTTTTTTGGGGCTTTTTGTTTGCAACAGGTATTTGATGGGGGGTGGGAAGAGTGAAAAAGTAATGTGGGCTAATTTGTTCAGGTAGAGTGAGTCTCATTTCATTCTTTGCTATCTTGCTCCAAGTAAAATAATCAGTTCCTGGAGCACTGAGCTGTAAGATCTGATTTTCAATCAGTGAATGTCACACAGAACATCGGGTTGGAAACTCGAGTCTTAACATTCTCAGGTTATACTACTGCAAATTCTTTGCTGCTTATCACAAATGGTATGGGTGGAGATAACAGACATTGTAAAATTTGTAGATATGCAGAATTTGCACGTGGGGCACAGGCCTGACGGCAGGAATCACATACTGATTAAGCAAAAATTAAAAGTAAGATGTCAAAATATTTCAAATCCTTATGCTTTATGTCTGTAGTGAACTTACTACTTTAGCAACTGGTTTACTATGATAGTTTCCTGACAAAACTTTGCAGTAGATTGAAAGCTGCTACTGATGCAACTTCTTCAAACAGTTTTTAGAGAATGGCAGTGTTACACAAATGAGGCAGTTATTTTTTTTTGCAAGGTAGAGAGTAAGGCAAACATGTGAAACCCATAAGCACAAAGCTCATTGGTGATGGATTCATACTATTACATGCAATACATTTGAGTGTATGAGCCCTCCAAACAAAGTTAGGTATTTGTATGTGCTTGATATGTCTAATCCTCAGTACATTTATAGCTCTGTCACTCATTTGTGTTAAACTGGGAAAATATTATGTTTGTTTTTATAGTTACAATTAAAGACTTCTTAAAAATGTTAAAGAGAAATATTTGGGATAGAACTTCAGAAAGAACCATATTAGTTTAGCTTGACTAATATAAAACATTTTTTTTAGTCTATACATATCAGGATGTGTTTCTCCTGTTCAATTAAGGTCCAAATGAAAAATACCACTTTTAGTTAAGTGTGCTAACTGGTACTTCACTGTGCAAGGATTTGAGTAGTGACACATCTACCTTAGTGTATTCTGTTGCAGCAGTGTATCATCCAACCCAACTTTTCAGTCCAGCTTAAAAATGTTGCCGATTTTAAATATACTTCCTCCAGTCAGAGCAGATTGTGGGGTTTATGGAACAATGATGTCGGAGCTTCCAGATTGGTTTGGCAGCTGCATTGTTCTCAGAGGGTAAACCAGACGCACTTAAGTCCCAGTCTTTTTCATGGGCTTTTGTTCATACCAAATTATTCTTTCACTGTGCTAGCATTCATGATGGCATGTTAAAGGAGTGCATCCTAGCAACTAAAGACTGGTTGCTAGGCAGCCTCACTTCCAATAGGTTTTTCTTGTTTAAGGTACTTTTTGGTGGCAGTTCTATGAAGGCCCACTGTGTGGGTTTTTAACTGTATCCTTTTATTGGGATATTGTTGTGATTTGTTACTGGCACTATGCTATCAAGTATATTACAGTAGTTAATAAATCACCATGTGTAAAGATTCACTTCCTAAATTCCCCTTGTATTTAATCTGCAGTATTGCCTGAACTCATAAACCTCCATGTAAAGAGGACCTAGCATTGACTACTGATATCCTATGAGAGAGTATCAATCTCACTCACTTCTAACTAAATCGAGCCAATGTAGAAATCAAAGTAGAATATATTCTTTCTATTGGTCCAAATTACATTAAACTAGTCAGAAAAAATTGCTGCTTGGTATTAAACCAAAAATGGTAAGTTATTTGGTAGAACAATTTAGTTAATACAGCTATTCACTGAAAAGCTCTGCTGCCACGGAGATGTCTTAACACTTAATGCATTTAAAACCCATTTTTATCTAGTCATGGATGGCTTACTCACTTCATTCCCATTTGTCTTGAGAAAAGCCCGCATCAGTTTCTATACATACATTCAGATCTTTTTTTTTTCCCTTAGCAAATGGAATATATACTGTGCAAATGATGATATTCTTAACAATATATACCTACTAATTTAATAGGAGAGAGTTGTTTACTCTCATGGAAAAGACTTTGTATGTCAGGTATGGATTGTTTCTAATAGGATACAGATATGGAATTGTGTTTAGGATTTAGTATGGAATTGTTTAAACTGATTTTTCTTAGGGTGACTTTGGCCAAATTTAGTCACGCTATATAGGACAAATTCAATTTCTCCCATTTACACGTGTACATCACTTAATTTGTTGCCCTGTCAGAACACAAAGTGCTGTTTCTTGTTTTCAGCTCATTCTCCCCTAGTATAAAGTTTTGTTGCGTTTAAAGCTACAGCTGGACAGTGTAGTCCTCTTTAACAAGAAGAGTAAAATATCTTTCATTTTTAGTAAAAGAAGCAATTCTACCCTCTGCCTGAATTCTCATTTGAGAGAGCAAAACAAAGTAAATGAAGTACTCATTTCCCTTTAAATATAGATTATGGAAGTATCTGAAAAAAATCTGGGAAACTGCTTCAGTAAACCTAATACACGATTTTCTGAGGTGCAGAAACTACAGCTTGCTTTGTTCCATTTTTCCCACATTCTTCCCATCTCCAGCTTTTAGCTGCTGATTCAGCAAAATGTCTGCAACCATGACAAAATTTTAGCAAAAATGTAGTCTCATTGTTGAAGTCAATATTTAAGTGTTTTTTTTTCTAGATGGGGTTCTTGAGGGCTGAAGTGTATCCCATTGACATCAGAGGAAACCTGTTTCATTGGATTTTGGAATTGCATATTGAGCCAAGTACTACACTCATTATTAAAGCAAAGCTCCCTAGAGACTATACAGAGGCTTTTCTGATTTGGTCTATGCTTTATAACACAATTTAGAAATATGTTGGGGATGTTTACCCACTTGAATTAATTTGCTGTTTCGGAGCTGGCTGATGTTTGGTTATTCCATCATCAGCTTACTTTCCGTATGATGCGACTTAAGCATATTTGCCTAATTAGGCCAATAAGGTAGTAATATACTAGTTAACCTTTTAGTAAATGGAAGGTCTGAGCTATTTAGTCTAAAAAGCTTTTCTGCAGTAGTACTCTTATTTTATAGCTGTATTTATTGTTTATGCCATTGTTCAGTAATGTTTTCTGAACATGTCAGATTATCACATTTATTTTAAATCTAGACAGAAGGGTCCCTTCTTTTGAAGTTATAGTAAACAATTTTCTAGTGTTTTTGTTTCCCCTTCCTCTGTACTCATTGTATTTTTGCACAATTTATAACTTAACATTAAAAATCTGAATTTTTTTTCTTATATTATTCATTAATTTAGAAATAGATATGTTTTATGAAAACTGCAGGAAAATGCTTAGTTTCTAAATGAAATAGAGTTACCTTTATTGGACACTTCTGTTGGATTGAAGTGTTGTTACACTTTGCAGATTTCCTAGGAACTATTTTAAAAAACACATCCAAAATAAGGATATTTTTGAGGTGGCAGAAAACAAAATCCCAAGGTAATAGTAAGACAATCACCCACAGTAAGAGGTAACTGGTGCCAACGTTTTTATTTTTTCTGTAGGAATACGGAACACTTTATATTCAGAAGTACAGGAAAAACAGCAAAGTGGAGTCAAGTACATGCAGCAGCTTCATGGGCTTGAAGGATCACCTAGGGCATGACCTAGGCCATCTCTATGTGGGGAACACTGACACACAAATAAATGCAATTGTACCTTGGTCAATGGTGGAGAAACCAACAATGGATAAAGTAAACTCCAGGAAGGAAGATGCAGACAAGGAGGCATCGGAAGAGACTGGAAGTTCCAGCTGTGATTCAGAAGAGAGCACAAATTCTGATAATGAATCAGAAAGACTGAATAACACTGCATCAGAATCACGCTTGTTGCCTAAGACTCACCGACAGCTGTGCAGATCTCCCTGCTTAAAGCCTCATATATTAAAGCGTAATGAAATCCTGCAAGACTTTAAGCTTGAGGAGGCTCATATAGTATCTAAGGAAGTAAAGAAGCCCCCTGATGCGATGAAAGAATATCAAACCAAACTGGAGTTTGCACTTAAATTAGGTTACTCTGAAGAACAGGTTCAACTTGTTCTAAGTAAACTTGGTACTGATGCTTTAATCAATGATATTTTGGGAGAACTTGTCAAACTTGGAAATAAAACTGAAACTGATCAGACTGTAAGTAATGTTAACACTAGTGTAATGCGTGAAGCATCTTCCATAGAGTCTCAGAGGTCTGAGTCCCCACTTCAGGAGGATGTGACAGAGGATGGTGACAACCTGAGGCCAATAGTAATTGATGGCAGCAATGTGGCAATGAGGTATGTGGCAATGAAGCATTTGTTTTATGTATATGAAAACGGAACTGTTGCAGGCAACTAGAGGGCTGATGTGCTATTTCATTACTTATCAAAAACTGTCCATTATTTATTGTTTGCATAGTCATGGTATGGTTATTTCTCAACCATATGTATGGAAACCCAGATGGCATCTTGAGTGCTCAGATTGAGTCTGTCAGTCGGAGTACAGTGATTTACGCTATTGTAGTAACTGCAACCACATGTTAATTATGCAAGTCCCTCTGCTTCTGCTATTACATCTCTCCACTTAGTTTACTTTTTCCAAATTTACAATTAATATATTAAACAACAAGGTGGCTAACTTTACAGATGATGTAAAATTACTTGCATCTCTTGAGATTAAACAAGGCAGCAATGGATCTAACAAATCTAGGTTAAGGGACAATATTACAACATAAAAACAAAGAAACAGCTAATTAAATTTTTTGTCTTTCAAACTGTAAATGCAAAAGAAAATCCTTTTTTATTTTTAATGTCCTGCTTAATTAATCTTGGCACTCATACCGCCAGATGTCACTGAGGCCAAACATTTAGCAAGAATTTCTATGGGTATTTTTTACATCCAGTTACAAAAATAATAATATACTGTTATAAATTTAAAAGAGATGGGATGCGAATCTTCTTGCTTCAGAGTATTAATCAAAAACTAATTGAAGAAAGAAATTTTTCCTTTTGGGTAGGTTATTCCACAGTGATCTACTCTACCTCCAAAGTGTTGGGTAATGGCCACTGTTGTAGACAAGATATTGAACTAGATATTATGGCAATTCCTGAGACTACTTGTGGCAGGACACTATAGGTGCCTGCCACTTTTAAGGGCCTAAAGACAGCGGCTAGCAGGTGCCTGATGAGGGCAACCATTTTGGATTCAAGGCTGCCCATATAAACAGGGCATTTTGGTGCTGGAAGGCAGGCAACAACATTGCCTGGCTGCAGGGCTGCTGTTATCAACCGGAGGTAAGGGAGGAGCTGTAGGGGATGGTCAGGAGGCTCCTGGTCCTGGGTATGACCTAAAACTGCACCCTGCTGGGAGTGGGTGGCCTGGTGGGGCTCTCAGTGGCGTGGGAGCCCCCAGGAAATGCCAGGCCAATTATCACCCCGGTGAAAAGTGGGTCAGGGTGCCTTAACCCCAGCTCTCACAACTGGGTGTGTTACCCCCTTGTAGAGTCTGGCAGGTGGACCTCAGTGAGAGAGTGGAGCCACAGACCCAAAGCTGTCTTGACATCCCCTGATTGGTCCATGCTGGGGCCTGGACCAGAAGAGTGGAAGGGCCAGGGGCCCACTGTGAGGGATGCCCAGAGCTGAGGGCCTGGAGTTCTGACTGGCCTGGAGGTGGGCCAGGACTAGTAGAGCCAAAGGTCCCAGGGGACCACACCCATAAGGGGGAAGCAGCTCAGAGAGCTGTGCAGCCTGGAATGAGGGTGGAATAGGCTGCCTGAATGGAGAGATCCAGGTGGGGTTCAAAGAGCAGGATTCTAGGGCCCAGTGTAGGGCCAGTGATATTGATAACATCTGGATGCCACCTGCGAGGCTTGGGCTGCAGTGTAGGGGAGGAACAGAGCGCCCCCTGGCATCAGGGCAAGAAATGGGCAGCCTCCTGCTTAATTAACATCAATTAATTAATTAACAACGAGGCACGGTGGGCGGTTAGCTCAGAAACAGGTGGGCGGGCCACAGGGAAATCGGCCCCAAAAAGGCCCTCTGTTACACTACTGTATCTCCAGAATTTCATTAATCCAATGAGAGAGACGTATTCATACACTGAGTGCTCATCCTCACTTATCATCTAACTATGCCTATGGAAATTACTGTTGGTGGGACAGATGGGTGTCTAAGCCTGCTTTACTAGGCAAGGAGGAGTTAGGAAAAGATGTACTTAAGAATCTGAAATGAGGGATGTCAGAGAGTTTAGGTGGCCGTGCTTTCAGTGGGCACGTGGATGAAGGACTGGTGAGTAACTAATTGGACAGAGCACAAGGATTGTCCTAGCCCAGGGGCTGGCAATTATTTCAGGTGGAGGGCTGCTTACCCAGTTTTGGCAAGATTTTGAGAGCTTCATGGGTAGCCCCGCCCCTTGACAGGTGCCCCAACCCCTAGTCACCATCTCGGGACCAGTGTCCCAGGGCCAGCATCAGTGGGGACCAAAGCGGGGCACAGGCTGGCAGAGGTCTGTGGAACTGGGCTGGGCTGCACCAGCAGGGAGAAGGGGAAGCTGGCCTGGCTCCACAGAGCACCTGCCAGCTGGGACCCCATACTCCTGCCACCCTGCTCTAGGCGCTGCTGGCGCTGGCCCTAGCCCACTGGTGTGGGCCCCATCCTCCCACGCCCGCTCATTCCCAGTGCCCCCCAAGCCCTGCAGTACAGGCAGGGGGCAGTGCACAGCACCAACCCCCCTGCTCGCCGGCAGGGAAGGAGCTGGTGCGGAGCATGGGAAAAAGTGGCCCCTCACTCGCCCTGTGACCCACACTCCCTGTTACAGCCATTCGCAGCCCACACAGGGCTGTTCTGAGCAGGCTCAGGCAGCCCCACGTGGGCTGTGAGCAGCTGCAGTGCAGGGCACCAGCCACGGGACAGGAGAGGGGCTGCTTTTCCCCCACTCTCAGCACCAGCTTCTAACCTAACCCTGCTGCCAGCCTGGGCCCCACACCCGCTCTGGGCTTGCCTGTTGGGGCTGTGCTGCAGCAGATGCGGCCCCCCCCCACTTGCTGTGCCGGGCAGTGTTTGCTGCTGCTGCCCGCCCGGAGTTCACGCGCTGGGCAGCACAGGGGCAGAGGTGGCAGCCTGAGGGGGGGTGGGGCCGGGCTGGGCAGGCCCTGCTGTTGCAGGAGCCTGCTAAGGATTCCCCTGGGTCCTACTGGTCCTGGTTCCTGTCATTTTTGACAGGAACCAAGAACAAATGAATTTTAATTTTCAATTTTTTCTTAGGGGCCCCGCAGGCCAGATAGAATGGTCTCACAGGCTGAATCCGGTCCGCAGGCCATATTTTGCCCACCCCGTCCTAGCCAGTCATACTGGATTTTGGAAAAAAGTGTGCCATTTTAGTGTTTTGGTAAGATAAGGAACCTCCTCAATAGCTTTGTAATAACACTTGGTAGAAGAAACTTCAGGCCTTAAAGCATGTAAGATTATTTAGTTCTTAATTCAATTTTCTGGGAAACAGATTGAAATTAAATATATGTACAGAGCTGTCTTGTATTTATAGCGATTAGATATTTTCAGTAGATTTAAATTACTGTAATTGACTTATGGATGCAGGACTCTGTCTTCTTTCTAAACTGAGTGTTGCCTAAATTATGTATCTGTTTAAGTTTTTTCCTCAAGGACTTTCCTCCTCATATGCTTTTCCTTGTCTCCCCTTACCTAGCTGAAATTAAGTGAGCATACCTTTTAAAACTGGTTATATTCAGATTAACACAAGCAAGATCTATTCTACTATTCTAACCAGAAATGATCCAAAGTCTTCTAAAATGCATTCCAATTTTGTTTAAAAATTCATTACATACTTGTACACTGTTTCAAGTGGTTTGTTTCAATTAAAACAATCTTCCAAACCAGAAGATATTGTTATAGTTTTGTTGCTTTATTGTTTCTTAATACTTTCAACTATTGGAACCAAATCTTCCAGGAAAGGTGCCACTGCTCTGTGGCACCTTTCCTGGCACACCGGCAATGTAAATCTGGTCTCTGACTAACCTAGTTACTTGACTTGTACCTCTGTGTAGGTGTTCTTTTCTGGAGCTACTGCATGTAGATCTTGTTTGGGTGTCTGCAGCATTTCTCACTACCAAGCCATGAAGGTGATACACTGTGAGGCTCTGCATAGAGTTCAGGGGAGAAAAATTGGAGGCTGGGCAGGAGGTGGACTCTAGGGTTCTGCAGGGTGCTGGAGGTAGGTTGCAGGATTTTAAAAAATTACGAACCGCTTTTATCCCTGCTCTTGGAGCCTGGCTGGGATAGAGGAAGCATTGGCTATCCATAGCCCTGACTGTAAGTAGCATCAGATTTTTAAAGCTAGAACGACCCCTAGGTGGCATTAGCACCTAGCATACAGTTCGGGCTTTTCTAATCTGCACATGGAGATTAACCAGCACAAATTAGATGAGGAAGAGGGGAATAAAACAAGATGTCCTTACCTATACACTGTATTGGGTACTTGCAGAAGCAGCTCAGGACCTGGCATCTTTCTTTAATATACATTTGGCTCGTTATGTGATCAGTTAAGATATCTGTGCCTTCATTTTATTTCTTAACCAGTCCTGAAAGCGAGTCACATACCAATGTAGAGCTTACTATGATGTAAAACATTATCAGTAAAATGCTGCAGCAAAGAATCAGGTTTTACGTTGGGGGGGGGAGGTTTGATAACATGGAATATGCCAGTAACAGCAGTAGGGTTATAGTCCTTCTTTTACAGTCAGAGGCATTTTGGAAGCTCATGCAGGAAGGCATTCTGGATAAGATTTGCCAGTTCCTTTTATCTATTTTTTTTTTGTACACTAGGAGTACCTAGGATCTGTGGATTGTCAATTGACCATTCAGCCATACTTGCAGTCCTGATTAATTTAATTGGCTAGTGCCACGGGGCCATACTATCTCATGCCCATTTTTGCTGTAGCCCCAGGAAAATAAATTATGCCTGTTCTTTGTGGGAGAGGGAAAGATATGAGTGAGATCTTGGAAGGCGCAGTTTCCCCACCTTTTTGTCCTCATAGGAGATCATGATGTGGTCTTTATGCTTTTTTCTGTGTTGCTGTGTCCACAGGCAAGAAATATTTACTTGATAATATTTGATAGATAGTATTTGATTATTGCACTGAATAAATCCTAAATAGGAATTGCTAATAGGCTGCCTAGAGAGGTTGTGAAATCTCCATCATTGGAGGTGTTCAAGAAGAGGTTGGACTAGTACTAGTCGGGGATGATCTAGGTGTAGCTATACCTACACTCTTCTCTGGGCAGTT